GGGGGGGGGGGGTCGTGTCATTTTGGAGGGTCGGGGGAGGGGCCTGTAAGGGTTTTAAAGGGGCTTGAAAAGGGGTTGACAGGCCCTTAAAGGGGGTGATATGATTTTCCTTACATTTTTTTTTTTGTTTTCAAATTCTGTGAAGATTTTGGAAGTGACCCTCGGCCAAAAACTATTTGGTTTGCTATTCTGCACAACATACCAGTTTTTCAATTTTTTCATTTTTTATATATATATTTTTGTGGGATATGGGCCAGTACCCAGCCCGGCCCAGTTTGCCTGGCCGGTCCCGGGCGGGTCCCGTGCCAGCTTTCGGTACCCGGGCGGCACGTCCGGTAGCCCAGCTTTGAAGTCAAAATCTTTTTTTTTGCCTTTTTTTTTTTTTGGCAATCATGTGGTCGTCATGCATCACAGGTTGCCGCCAGAATAAACAGGCCAAGGAGGACAAATCATCCCGGACGATGACGCAACGTACAAAGAGTGGCGGTGAACGCGGACGATGACGGCGATGGCCACATACCATGATGTGAAAAGAACCGACGGTGGAGGGGACGAGACGGCGATGGCCACGCAGCATGATGCCACAACAACCTGTCCGTTGAAAAAAAAAAAAAAAAAAAAAAAAAACCTTCAAAAAACAGAGGGCGACCGGAGGAAAAAAAGATAGGAGAAAAATAAACCCAAAACCAAAAGGTCAAAAGCGAAATCGCACAGATCCGGAGAGCCTGCCCTCATGGACCGTACAAACGAACATCCTCAGTACCCGTAGGGTTCAACCGAAAAAGAGGGCGAGGTTCCTAAAAGTTGGGTAACCAGTACCGGTACCAGAAATCACACGAAACAACAAACGAACTACTAGCCTCATTTTTGTTTCGGTGTGCAGGCCATATTCAGGCTCCGCTTTAATAGCTGGGGCAAGTATCACGGTGGTTTAAGGGCCAGGATTGGGCTTGCAACCCCAAGTTTCACAATAGGACATGCTGGACTGACCTCTGGATTTGAATGCCACCAGATACATGCAATTGTTGCCATAATTCTAGTTCTTTCGTTAGTGTGAGTATGAATTAACGAGTACTCCCCTAGGACGTGTTAACCTTGTGTTTATTTGTCCACTCACCCGCTCCCTATCTTTAAACCCCTTAGCACGTGCTAACCTGCCTATTTCATCTACCTGACCCTAGCCCACTGGAACTCTCTTCAGGGACCGGCGATGACTCGGTACCAGAGCATTTTCTAGACCCTTGGCACTACAGTACCAACCAACAGGGGTCCCTTTCACTCCCTCCGTCCTGGGTTTGTTACATCAGTTGTGGTGCAATTGCGTTGAATAAGAGGAGGGGCAGCTGGGCGAAGGAAGGGCGGTTGTCAAATATCTCGCCTTCCTTGCGATGGAGTCGGCCCTGTGGTGCATTCAGATACCCTCCCAATGAAAGCCAAAAAAACGGTGCATGCGTGAAGAAAGCATACGAAGACTGTCCGAAGGCCAACTCCAGAGGTGGAGGGCTCGGTCACAAGTTGAGCCACCAGTACTTCCAGAAAGGGCTTGACTTGCGATAAGATTATGATATAACAGGTCGCGAATGATGCCCCCTAGAGAAAGACCGTCCCTGGGGTTGGCACAAGCCATCTGATCCTCTCGCTGGTTGAATACGACGACAGGCACCTTCAGAGGCCTAGCATCCACCCTCTAGTGTGACATGGACCCCTTTTTCTGGGAAAAAAAAAGAAGAAGAAAACGGGGTTGCCGGCCAGCCATGCGTGGATAAATTAAATTCATTCCAAACGAGCCGACGCGGTAGCGTAGCAATGGCAGGCGCTTGCCACGGCCGGACTCTCCGGAATGCTGGTGGTTTTAAGTTTTAACTGCATAACCAACAATAATTAATTTGCTGCTGTAGTTTCAATTGCTGCACTGCAACAGATGCTGACAATAAAATATTTAAATAAACAAACTGCTGAACATCCTCCGGACAAACTAAGTACTCTTCCTACAATTCATGAATGGCATGCTTGATTATGTGGACTGATTTTTATTTTTTTATTTTTTTCCCCTTTCCTTAATACTTCTCAGAGATGATTTCAGGTCTGCTTGCCACTGGACTTGGGGTTAATACCAAAAGAACAAAACAGGATGTAGAAAAAAGTCCTTCGCGAGTGCAATTTCATTTTGATATCGAAGACCCTTCCCTTTACAAACTTCAGGACGCTTGCGACGTCCGATTCTGGAAACAAATTGTGTGACCTTGAAGGAGCGAATTGTGCGACCTTTTAGGACCAACTTGTGTGACCTTTAAGGAGCGAATTTTGTGTGCCCTTTGAGGAGCAAATTAAAGGTCACACAAGTTGCTCCTCGAAGGTCACACAATTTGGTCCTTAAAGGTCAGGAGCAAATTGTGTGACCTTCGAGGAGCAACTTGTGTGACCTTTAAGTTGGGGAGCAAATTGTGTGACCTTTGGGGAGCAAATTGTGTGACCTTTGAGGACTTTGCAGAATGCCCTTCAGGCAAAACAGTTCACCTTGTCCTTCTGGAATTGGTATCGTACAATCCGTTAAAATTGGAACGATACAGAGAAGGTAGATTAGTATGCCCCCTGCGCAAGGATGACAAGCATAAGTCAAGAAATGGTCCAATTTTTTCCTGTGCGTGAAAAAAAAAAAAAAAAAAAGACAGTTCACCTTGAAGTTCTAAATCACCACTGCCGCCAAAGCAGATCATCCATCTAAAACTATTGATTTTCCCCCTGGACCCCCCCCCCCCCCCCCCTAAAAACCATGAGGCAAAACGTTTTTTTTTTTTCTTTTTTCTTTTTTTTGGGGGGGGGAGGGGTCACTAGTGCATCGAGTGATGAGCAACAGTATGCATGCTTTTTGTTCAGCATCCATTTCTTCTTCTTCTTCTTCTTCTTCTTCTTTTTATTTTCTTTTTTTTCCTTTTTTTTGACGTTTTTCCTAAACAGATCAGCACTCCATCTACGTCGCTGTTTTTTCTCTCAGAATGTTCGTACAGAAACGGGAGCATGAAAAATCGCCAAAACGACCATACTCAAGATTTCTTACACTGCCGCGTATACTGTCGGAGCGTACAGATTCCATTGCGGGAAGCTGTGGTTAAAAGAACCAAATGAGTGTTTTTTGAACTTTTTTCTCTGGCAGCTGTTGTTCCAGGAGCCACAAACGATGTGTTTCGTTTTTTCTTTTTTTTTTTCTCTTGTTTTTTTTTTTTCCTCTTTTTTTTTTTCCCCCCCAAAAAAACTATAACAGCCCACTCTTCATTCACACCATCCAGCCGCCACAGCAAAACACTCGATTGGCAGGCCTTTTCTTTTTTAACAAATAAAAATTGGACCATTTCTCGATTTCTGCGGGTGATCATTCGTGCGCGCAGGCGCAATGGTAATCCTTTTCCTCTGTATCGTTCCCAATTTTTAACCCGCCAGCACACAGCCCCAGCCTTGTAGAACACTCCCACTCAGACTCCCACTGCCGCTCACACTCCCACTCCCACTCACACTCACACTCACACTCACACCTATGTTGATCGAAGACCCTACTAACACCAATCGGAGGTATCGCTGATAAGTAGTAGTGGTGGTTGTTGTTATGGCAGATTATCCTAGCCGCATACTTGGGCACATTTTTTTCTTTCTAAATAAACGGCACATCGTGAGAGAAAAGGTCAAACTTTGACCAAAGTGAAAAAGCTTGGTAAGCAAAAAAAACTCGAGTCTGAAAGTAGTTGCACTTCAAAATCTCAAGCGAATTCATTCGGCATTGAGGACAGCTCTCCTCAATAGACCAAACCCAGAAATCCTCAGGACCACCAAGACAGCAAGCCAAGTCCATCGGCATTGACATCACCCTGGTCATTTTTCATATAAAAAAAAAAAATTAACATGACACAATTTCCGTGAATTTTATATGACATATATCGTCAATATATATATAATCATATATATACATGGTGTTTAAAGGTTAATTTAACCATGTTTGTTAGCATCTCCAGCAACAGCATACCAAAGATGTATCAAAGGCAACACACAAGGGCAACCAACAGGAAAACCAAAAGACCAAGGAGTTAAGCAGGTTAGGAGAGAGAAAATGGTCGTTGCAATGCCACATGCCGAATGGAGGGAACATGAAATAAACGACATTGAGTGCAAAAAGGAAGAGGCAACAAACCGTCCAACACGAGAAACCGCGCCGCGTGCGCATATGCACACAAACAAGACAACCCACACACACAAAACAAAAGGAACCGCACCGCGTGCAGATACACACACAAAACACGCACAACACACACACAAGTACAGACGTCAAACGGAACGAGTCAGAAAATTTTGAATCGATGAGGTGAAAATGTATTGCAATTCCACAACTTTTTTTTTTTGGGTGGGGCTGATGCCCGGCCGCGCACCCTGGAGTCTATCCGGGCACAAGTTGGGTGCTAGAAGAATATCTTTTTGGCCGACTCTTTCGAAAAATTTTCCTTGTTTTTTTTTGTTTTTGCTTCAGGAGAAACCAAACCATCATCTTAGTTCAATCCATCGGAGAAAGTAAGAAGTCGGGAAAAAGTCTGGAAATTTTATTTTTCTTAGATGGCTTGAACTAAGATGATGGTTTGCTTTTTCATTAGGTTCCTATGCTCTTTTTTCATTGGCACTTTTCAATCACTGATTTCCCTCGGGAATAAAATGAAATTCCCATCCAATTTTAATTGTTTCACTGACCTTCAACTTCATGTCACCATGTCACCTTCAACTTAGTTAATTCTGTCTCCTCAATCTTGATCAATACCATGCCAAGTCGTCAACTTAGTTAAATGAGCAGGGAAGATCTTTCTGAAGTAGAGAGAGAGAGAGAGAGAGAGAGAGAGAGAGAGAGAGAGAGAGAGAGAGAGAGAGAGAGAGAGAGAGAGAGAAGGAGGGGGAAGGGAACATGAGATAACAATAGATGATACTATCATGGTCGAGACTACCTATTATTTTGACACGGAACAGTGAATACCTTAAAAAAATCCAGTTCTTTTCAATTCTTTTCAAGTTATCCAATTTGTTTTCAACTTGAGACAACCCCCTTTAGACCCCTTTAGACCCCTTTAGACCCCTTTAGACCCCTTTAGACACACACACACACACACACACAGATTTCCTTAAAAAGGAAACTGGTTTTTGAACCTCCTTAAAAAGCAAGAAAGACAACAGTGGAGAGTCGTGGAGACCATCCACCACAAAGCTGCAGACATCTGTTGATACCCAGCTGGCAGCCCAGCATCACAGGCCATTTTTCAGAACTTCTTTTTTTTTTTTTTTTTTTTTTTAAAACAGGGTAGGGCACTTATCAATGTTTCATCCATGAGCACCACGTGTCCCACAACAGACTGCTGCACACAGTGCCATGTATGAGAGCCTATTGTGCACACGTGATGCAAAATAAGTCCCAAACGACTGCGATAAGTAGGGGTATGAACTGTTGGGGGTCTTCTGTTACAGTGATGCAGCCAGCCAGCCAGCTGAAAAAAATCATAATTTTTTTAAAAGACCTTCAGACACCCCACTATCCCCCAACCCCCCAAATGATCCTGCAGATCCAATAGGACCCTGACATCCAAAGGGGGTATAAAGTACTATAAACTTCTTCAGTTTTTTTTTTTCGCTTTGTCCTTTTTTTTCTCTCCATTTGGTTGTCCAGCCATGACTAGCAGAGATTTCAGTTCCAGTCTCCCAGATGTATTTTTTCAATTTTTTTTGCTGCCAATGTTCCGTCCAAGACGTCTCTCTCAGCTTTTCTCTGTTTGACTTTTTTTTTTCTTTTTTTCTTTTGGCCTCGAGAGTCAAGATACCATTATTTAACTGAACGGGCCCAGGTAACTCAGAATTATTTTGTTCTGTTTCATCAACTTTATCTGACATTCAGCAATTCTCTAGATTCGAACTTGGGTCGGTCCCTCAAGTTCGTCTAGACAGTTCACGCTTGTACGAACTGAGCTAGGGACGTCGGTTAGTTGTGTTCTGTATTCCCTACATACAACTCCACAAAAGAAGGGCGAGCGAGTGTAGGATTTTTATTATTATTATTATTATTATTATTTTGTGCTTGGCTGTGGTTTAGAATATCTGACTCAGTGTTATGCGTCTTTTTTGTTTTTTCAAAAACTGCGCATGTCTGCGAGATCATACACCCTTCTATACAAGTTTCTCATGTTTCTTGCTATCGCGTGTGTCCAGATTCCAGATTCATATCCAGAATCCAGATTCATATCCAGAATCCAGATTTTTTTTTGTTTTTTTTTCCTCCTCATCCAGATGTGCGAGGATTTAGTCCCTCGGCAGTGTCTGAAAGTGGCGCGCCCGCCCTAAGTGAAGGCGGGCGTGCAAATATGTGCCAATGCCTGTTTATAGGACTATGAGACCAGGCTGAGGGGCCCAAGCAGAGCCTGATTTTTTTTTTTTTATTATTATTATTATTTTTTTTTTTTAGCAGAGCCTGTTGTAAGCCCCATGTGGGCATGGATCTTCGACAAGGCCTTGTTACGAGTTGGCTCCTTGGCATGCCCCTGTAGGGCCCTTTCAGCAAGCATGAGCCCGCCCTAAGTAAAGGCAGGCCCCTGAATAGCAATATGACCTGAGTTCGTCAATTTCGGCAAAGATTGGTGGGCGCCAGACAGTCGCCATGCGCCAGTTGGTTACGTCCTCCATACTCGTGAGAATCAGAAATAAGTCTTGCGCCTTCTTCTAGGCTCTTCCAGCAGCACAGGCGAAGCAGGGAGAACCTCACCTTTACTCCTGGGTGGTTGGGCAGGCTCAACCAATTCGGTCCCAGGCCACTGTCTGAATGAGCCTGGGCGCAGACACTTTGGCCCGATTGGAAGCTACTAGAAATACACGAGGCCCAGCCAGGGAGCAGACTGGGCGAGCACTTTCCATAAAGGAAAGAGCTCGCCACTGGTGGAGGCATTCGGGCACTAGGCAGTGCATGCGGCAGCGCTGCTTGAGCATGCGCTCGCAGGCTGTGCGCTTGCGCTAGTTGCCAGGCAGTGCGCACGGGCGCTGGAAGAAGGCAGGGCGCTGCTGAGGGCAGCGCCATAGCCAGCCCCCTACATAGCCGGGGCTTGGCTTGGACAGCCAGTGGAGGTGGCGGTGGTCTTCGCGCATGAGGGAGAAGACGTGGGAGGAAGACAAGGATAGGGAGAGAGTGATAGAGATGAGGATGATGATGTGAGGGCGCATTCCTTGTATTGGCGATGGTCTGCATTGGCCGACATCTTCAAGTACTTCGGTGGCTGCTGACGTCAACAGTTGCATTGTCAATTCGTAGGCAGGAAGTAGCTGTGTAGGGAGTAGCCTGGGCACCAAGCGTCGAGTAGGGAGAAAGGGCCTGGATACGTATGTTGGCGGGGACGAGAGTAAAGCTCTCATTGACATTCGGTTTCAGTGTTTCGATTCTCCATTGGTGTAATATTGGTGCAATTCTGTTTATCTGGACACTGGGATTTTCTTGCTTTCAATGTGATTGTGCTATCTGGATTCTGTCATTTTGCTCTCTCTCATTTTCCTTGCTGATGCTTATCTACTGCGGAATTGAGTTCTCAATTCTAATTTTTTGGAGAGTGCTTCTGCTGTGTACATCTCATCATTGGTTTGGTGTGGTTTTCCCCTCTCCTCGTGAAAAAAATAAAAATAAATAAATAAATAAATAAATAAATAAATAAATAAATAAATAAAATCTGTGGCAGTGTTCAAATCCCAGTCTTGCTGGAGTGGTACTAGCTCGCAAAGAAGCGACAGCTTTTGAGGGAGACAGTACCGAAAGTTAGCCGCACAAGGACAGAAAGGTCTAATCTGCGAGGGGCAAACTTGATATTTGGACGGTACAGAGGGATGTGAAGGTGAGATTTTCAGGTCTGTTAGAGATTCTCGAGTGAATTGGGAGCTGGCCAGCCTGTAGCCCTATCAGATTGGAGGCATAGCAAATCTGAGTACCAGACTGTACCTGGACAGGCTCGAGGCCAGATACGTCCATACAGAGTGGCATCTTACAGACAGCTGTGACACGTCATGGATTGCTTCCTTGATACCAGTTGCCGGCTTTTCATCATCGCACATTCTTTTTTAAGACATTTCGACGAATAATGGAATAAATTTGCCGATTACTCCTCTATGAGACTGTTGCTTCAGGAATCCAGACAAAAATTGACACACACACACAAAAAAAACAAAACAAAAAAAAGAGAGAGAGGAAAACAAGACTAGAAAATCAAGAATCCACGACATGGATTATAGTCTTGCATGTTTTTTGAGAAATTTCCACGAATAATGGAATAAAGTTGTGGATTAAATCTTTTCTGACAAATAAAGCTGGAATTGGAGAATTTGAAGATGGAAAGGATATAGATAGTGTTTGCACTTATGGTTTCTGTCATAATAATTGCTTAGGGTATACTCACACTCGAAAGACTTTGCTCTATGTATCAAGACCACACGTGCGACCAGACCCATCCCCGAAATTTCTAGTATGTGGATCCCAAGTTCGCGCTTACAAGTTATTATACTGCTTTTCCAAGTTTTCTTCACCCTCCATTCTGTTGTTCTTTTTTTCTTTTTTCTTTTTTTTTTTTTTCTTTTTTTTTTTTTTGAAAGTTGAAGATTGTTTTCTCTTCACTCTCCACTCTGTTGTTCTTTGGTTTTATTTAAAATCTCTTGAATCTTTGATGCTATACTGAATTGAGATTTGCGATGTGAAGTTGAAGATTGTTGTTTTTATTAACTTTTATACATATTTCAGCCACACGTGGGCCAGATTCGTTTGAGAACAGGCTATCAGTCTGAGTATGGTAGTAGGCTAGTAGCGTAACCGAACTCCTTTTCTCTTCAGACTCTACTCTCTGTTGGTTTGTACGTATTTCAGAGCGCAAGCGTGTCCAGATTCATTTGAGAAAATGCGAGTCTGTGTTGGATGCAATGCTTAATTGGGATTTGTGATTAGAGAATTTTTTGCAGTCGAAGATTGTCGTTTGACTGTCGACAGTGGTGAAACTGTGGGAGCAGAGGAACATCGCAATCCCTCCTCTCTCGGAGTCAAACTGCTGCAAACTTCATGGAAACTCAGGGAAACTTCATGCAACTTACCACGATTTGCATTGGTGCAAATGGCTTTGCATTTCGCTCGTGCTCAATAGGAATCGGAGGATATTTTACATCCGCCACACGAAATCGGACCTAATAAACAATCCCCCAACAACAACAAGGGGCAAACAAACAAATTAACAAACAAAAAAAAAGAGAGACACAACGGGCATATATGTCAGATGAAAACCTAGGCTACCAAACAATCACCCAATGACAACAAGGGGCAAACAAACAAACAAACAAAAAACAAAGAGAGACACAACGGGCATATATGTCAGATGAAAACCTAGGCTACCAGAGTGGCCCGGGACGACTTGCCCGGCCGGGCCAAAAGTTTATTTTAAATTTTATTTTCTATTTTAAATTTGGTTAAAGAATTTCGATGTGAACCTGAGGCAAAAGTTGTTCAGTATAATTTTCTGCACAGCATAGTTTTTCAACTTTTTCTTTTTTTTTTTCTTTTTTTTTGCTGATCTTCCCTGGTCCTTGTACGGCTGGGCCGTCCGGGGAAAACAAGGTGACCCGGACGGCCCGGCTGGTAGCCTAGATGAAAACATATGTGCGGAGATTTGAAAACGTCAAGCACTTTGGCAGATGGGCACCTGTCCAGCTGCTGGTGCTTTTTTTTTCTGTAGGCTAGTGCAACAAAACATAATAAAAAAATGAAAAAATAATATAAAAAGATGACGATAAATATACAAAGATCAGGATAAATATTAAAATATAAGGATAAAATCATAAAATTCGATAAACATACAGAAAGATAAGGAGTGAAAGGCCTTCCACGTTTCAGACCCCAAAATTCGGATCTCAGGGTCCGAGGCCTGGGCAAGAGAGGCCGAGTTCATCAAATTCAGAAAAGTCACAGTCGGGTACCTCAGCAGTCCAACAGGCACCCAGCAAACAGTCACATCTTAGGGGCAACAGTCAGGTCTCATAATGAAAAGTCATATTGAAGAGTCACATCCCTCGAGCAAAAGGGTAGTTCCACAGGCAAGAGTCGTGTCCAGGAGACAGGAGTCTCATTCCACAGTCAAAGGTCATGTTCAGAAGTGAAAAGTCAGGACTCAAAGGCCCAAGCAGCAGCAGACCCATGGAAATTCGGGAAGGTTCAAGCCTTCAAGGCCTTGGCATTCAGAAGCAGACAGGCCGTGGGGATGTGTGGTACCGGAACCCAGACAAGCCGCAAGAAGCAGAGGTTGGCACGAGTTGAAGTGCAATTCAAGAGTACAAAAGGACTGGCCAGGCTCCCGGTCGGGGAGATTGCTCATTCGCAAGAAGAGCGGAAGTGGTGGTGCACTTGTGCGGTGTAGTGAAGGGCAGGGCGCTGAAGCCAGAGTGCTGCGCGAAGGGAGAGAGAGAGAGAGACGAAGTGTTAGTGCTGGCAGGGAGAAGGCAGCCATAGCTGCGCCAGTGCAGAGTGTTAGTAGTAGACTGCAGATAGTTAGTAGGCTTATCAGTGGGTGTATTCAGAGTAGATCCTTGAGTAATAGATGTGTGAGTGCATGTAAGTAGGGAGAGAAGATCAAGATAGAGAGAAGAGTTCTGAAAGAGAGACATACCTGAGTGAAGATACAAGATACTTGGGTTGCGCTGTTGAGCGCTGGTGATTGAAACTCTTCATTGCTCATATGATAATTTGTTGAGATTATAAGCTGCACTACCTGGTCTTCATCTTTCTGGTCTCCAGTGTGATCTCATACCTGCATATGGTGTGATTATGTTCACTGGTGTTGTACTAAGAGGTTCATTGCAATAAACCGTCATGGTAAAAAAAAAAAAACGATAGCATAAACTTTATTAAACTATCGTGCTTTATATCAGAAGAAAAATCAAAGTTAATAACAAAAAGCTAGTACGGATCAGACGCGAGAGGATACGAACACATGCGTGAGGACAGGAACTACCTGTGCATGTTTACTAACAGGGTTCGAACTCATTATCTCTTAACGAATAGTGTCATTTTCGGGAAGTTGCGGGAACCACTCAGCCACACATGCTTGGTAGGTAGGTACTAGGTAGGCACTTGGGCATTTTATTTCCTTGCTTTCCCTGCCTTTTTTTTTTTTTTTTTAATTTGGATCATTTCTCGATTTATGCGTGTCATCCTTGCGCAGGGGCCATCCATGCTAATCTTCTCTCTCTCTGTATCGTTCCAATTTTAACGGATATGTCCCGAAGGACTCCTGCCTCTTGTTTCTTGTAAAAATAAAAAAGAAAAAAATGCTAGCAAGCAACAACAATGAAAAGTCACCACACGTGGAGCCACACGACGAAATTTATTTATTTTCTCGAATAATATCAGAAGAATCATGAAACCTGCTTGCTTTGTGGACACAGGAATCAACCCTGCCATCTTGATGAACGCCCAGTCATTGTAGTAGTAGCTGTATTTGGGGCAGCTTTCAGCCTAGATACAGCAATAACGACTGTGCGTTCTACTCAGGGGAAGACGGTAGTCCCTCGGTACCAGGTACCCTGTTCTCGGCACCAATCGTTCCTCTACTGTTTTGGCGGGCCCTGCTTTTTTTTCTCTTTGGCAGCCAGATCTGATTGGTAATTTGCTATTTTTAGACGCGTCAAAATCGCTCGAGGGAGCTAACCAGACCAAGCAGATGGCTCACTGCAACCAAGGTTTTAAACCGGGTAATTTTCTCTTTGGCAAATCCCTGATTTTCTCTTTGGCAAATCCCAAGGGTACCCAGTATTATCTTTTTTTTTTTTTTTTTTTTTT